TGCGTATCCGATCATATAGATCCGTTGTCACCCGTGTGATGTGGGCCAACACATAGTCAGGACGCCGAGAGAGGGCGTCCGCAAGCACGTTGAGCTTGCCCGGCTTGTATTCGACGCGGAGGTTGTACTCCGCGAGGAAGGACAGCCACCTCGCCATCCTTTGGGAGAGGTGAGGCGAGTTAGTCGCCGTCCTCAAGGACGCGTGGTCTGTGTAGATCACGAAGGGCCGGGAGCCCAGAAGGTGAACACGGAACTTCACAAGGGCATATTTCATTGCCAGGAGCTCCTTGTCATGGACAGGGTAGTTCCGCTCGGCGGCTTTGAGCTGCCGGGACTGGAACGAGATGACTCGTTCCTATCCAGCCGTGTCGTCCTGCAGCAATGCACACCCGATGGCGTAATCGGAGGCATCGCAGACGACGCTAAACGTCTTCGTCTCGTCCGGCAGAGCCAGGACAGGGGCCTCTTGGAGATTGGCCTTGATGCTGTCAAAAGCATCCTGGTGCTCTTGTTCCCAGCGCCAGTCGACGTCCTTCTGAAGGAGGCTCGACAAGGGCTTAGCGAAGCCCGCGTACCCAGCGCTGTACTTGTGAAGGTAGTTGGCCAAGCCCAACCATTTTCGAAGATCCTTCTGGGATCGGGGCGTTGGCCATGCTGCTATGACCTTGACCTTGTCTGGGTCAGCCCGAACGCCCACGTTGCTGACGAAGCAACCGAGAACTTTAATCTCTGGTGACGCGAAAACGCACTTGTCGATGTTGGCGTAGAGATTGTTCGCTCGCATCACGTCCAACACTCGACGGAGGTGTCCTAGATGCACCTCCATGGCCGTCTTGCCTCCCTCGGCACGGCTATGGACGAATATGTCGTCGAAGTACGTCTGTACGAAGGTACGCAAAGGGTGGAACAATTGCGTCACCAGGCGATTGAACGTCGCCGGGGCGTTAGACAAGCCCTGCGGCATGACGAGCCACTCCCAAAGCATGCCGCTTGGAGTGCTTACCGCGGTGAGCGGGATGTCACTCTCTCGCATCAGGATTTGGTAGTATCCGTCTACCAAATCCAGCGCACTGTACAGTACGCTCCCGGCCATGTTGTTCAGCAACACATCCTTTCGTGGGATCGGTGTTTGGGCCGGCACCGTTGCGTTGTTCAGCTTGTTATAAGCGTGAACCAGACGCCACTTTCCGTTCGGGTTCCGAACGCAGAAAGTCGGCGTCGAGTGCGGGGATTTCGATTCCCGCACCATGCCTGCCTTCGCTTTTCGCGGCCGAAGAAGGCATCAATGACCTCGCACTGTTCGCGCGGGAGAGGCCATTTGCCTCGTGACACAATACTTTTGTGCCGGGCACGAGATCAATCCTCGTGCCCGGGCCACGAGATCAATCTCGTGCCGTACGCCTCGATCCGGTGGGAGTTGGGTCGGTGGGTGTTTGTTCACCACGTCCGCATACTCCGTCACCAAAGGATACACCGGATCCTTGGGGTTCTTGAGAATCTCAGAACCCAAGCGCGCCTGACGCTGCTTGTTCATGTCTTCCAGGACGTTCTCGTCCAAGACAGATGAGGAGTTCAGCTCCTCCTGAGTGGTCTCAGGTCTCATGAGTACCATCTCAGCAATCTCTCCAGCCTTGAGGTTGGCCAGGAAAGACTCAGCCGTCATTTCCTCGAGGTTCAGTATCTCCGCAACCTCTGGCAACGGTTCCAAGTGGACACCAGATGCCTTGACGGGTAAACCTGTCTCGCCATCGAAGATGTGATAACACTCTTCCACCGGCCTTGTCGGAGGAGCCCGGGCCCTGGACTCCGAGTCGCTTGAAGCGACGTCGATCGGAACGAAGTTCGGATCCGACTTGAGGCGGCGGCGGTGTTTTTGCCGACAACGTCTGTGACGGGGAGCTTTGCTGCCCACGTCTGGGGATGTCGTCGCTACGACATCCGAGGCACTCGTGGCCTCGTGTGATACTGTTGTACCCACACAGGAAGCGTGTTCAAAGCCTTCCTCTTCAGTTAAGGTCTGGGCGACCGCGTGTGGCACTGTGTTACCCACACAGGAAGCGTATCCGACGTCTTCCTCTTCAGTTAAGGTCTGGGCGACCGTGAGTGGAACTCTGTTACCCACTCTGAACACGCTGTTCTCAGTGTTCATGACAGCTGCAGCTGTCTGCGGAACTAAGTTACCCGCCTGTGGACCTAAGTTACCCACTTGGCCGACGCCTCTTCTGGGCGCGGCCACCATCAAAACATCCTTGGAGTCGTCATATACGTCGACGACTCCCAAGCATCTGCCGGATAATTTGGTACCCTGGCAGCCCTCGCGGGCGCCCCGGGTCCTGACAGAGGTGGGAACATGACTCAACAAAGCTGTGTCGGACTGCGCAGGGCGGCTGGCACCGATTGCCTTGACTCGCCAGTCGATCCAGGGCTCGTGCTTCTCAAGCCAGGGCATGCCCAGGATCATATCATATGGATCCATATCGAGAACAGTGAACTGGTCGAGGCTGTCAAAGTCTTCAAACTTGACAGCCAATCCACTTGGACGTTGGGGACAGTGACGACCTTCCCGTCGGCCAGTCGCACTGACACCGTCCCGTTGCCCTTGCTTTCTCTCAAAGCTTCGGACAACTTGTTGCTGTTACGAGCAACCGTCTGGCGGCGTGCGAAATTCTTCGACGCCCCAGAGTCAATCAAGATTCTAAAGGGATGATCGTATCCCCGTACACATCCGTGTACTACGAGCAACCCGCCGCTGCTCTTCGCCGATTCGAGAGTGCGAAGACTCTCAGGGGCTAAGTCACCGTGGTACGCGCCACCCGCGCACCCATCACGAAGACTTAGTTCTTCCTCAGTAGGGCGCCTTGCCCCTACTGGCTCCCTGCGTTCCCCTGTCCCGGGATCCTGGCTTCTGCCAGCGACCCTTGAGGACGGGCTTGGGGAAGGACCGTCTGCGGAGTCTTTCCGCGGGACAGTCGCGCTTGAAGTGGCCCATCTTCCCACAGCCGAAGCAGCGGATGTCACGCTGCTCGGCGGACCCGAGTTTTATGGGAACTGGTCCGTTGGGGCTTGTTCGACCGGGAGCCGACAAGGAGCTCCCAGGCCACGCTGAGGCCGGCGTACGCGCCTGGCGATGGCTGTACTCTTCTTGAAGAGCCACTTGAATCGCCTCTTCAAGGGTGCTTGCCTGCACCCGGAACAGCTGAGTGCGTGCGGGGCCCACTCGAAGGCCGTCCACGATCACAGTCATCTTGATGTGTTCATTGAGTGGGTTTCCCACTAGGGACGCCGAATCTCTTGCACATACTCGTGCAGTTCGCGCCTTCCTTGTTTGCACGCGAGGAAGCGCGAACGCTGGCGGTACTCGTAGTTCGCCGGGAGGAACGCGGCTCGGAGCTGTTCGCACAGCTGAGCCCAGGATGTGAAACATCCAGGGGATGTTGCTTCTCGAGTGTACACCCAACTCTTAGCACGACCGCTAAGGTTGGAGAGTGCAAAAGCAACACGCAGTTGCTCGGTCGAGATCAGAGCCGCGTCCATCGCGAGCTCTACTTCTCGGACCCAGAAGTGAAGGTTCTCGCCTTCCTTCCCTTCACCTGGCTTTACCTTCAGCCGTATTGGCTTCGGGTGAGGCGGGTTTGCTCCCGCCGCCGGAGCCTGCAGGTTCTCCCGCACATGCGCGATGATGCCCTGCTCGTACGCGTCGAATGCATTGACGCGCTCGAGCTGCTCAGCCGGTGTTGACACCACCAGGCTCTGCAGGGCCTCCATCCCGAAGATGCCTGCCATCTTCCGAACCGACTCGAACTGAGAGTCGTTCAAATGGGAGAAGTCGTTCCTATCCATGGCAACGAACTTCGGAGGTTCAGGTAGTCTACCCGCGATGGCGTGGATTGACTACAAGTGCTACCAAGTGTGACGGGGTCACACAGCACCTTGCGCAAGAGGAAGTTATCTTCCGAGAGTATACAAACTCTCAGTGAACGGCAGTTCACAGGTCCCCTCTTTTATTAAAGAGAGCGAAGTGACCCAAATAAGGTAGATTGTAAACTGAGTATATTTATAGGTAAATTAAGTTTGGGTTTAATACAAACTGTTAGTTACCTATGGAAATGCAATGTCATTTAACCAATGGTTGGCTTTGAACGACCTTGGTACCTTGTACCAAATATCTCGGAGTATGACGTGTCATACTCCTGAAGTGTGAAGTGTCACACTTCATGTAACCAGGGTACACTTAGGGCTACGTACCCCGTTACAAAACCGCACTGTCAAATAATAAAAACTGACTGAGTTATGGGCACTCGACGAGGTGGCCGTATAATTGAGTCCACGTGTGTAGATGGGCTATAAAAACTGGAGCGTGATTACGAGTACTGCGTGTTAATTATTATTATATTTTAATTTTAATTTAAATAAAATACGTGTACCGGTTTTGAATACATGTTTGCACACAACTTTACTCACCTTCACCGTCGCTTCCTCCAGCTGAGCATCCGTGAAGGCGGCCTTCATCTTCTCTCCTGCGATTATATCTTCCACAGTGGAGGAAAATAATTTGCTGGGTCATGAAACTGGTAAACATGATGAATAACCAATAACAGGTCGTGAAGCACATAAAGGGTGATATTTTTGGACAATATTTGCATCGGCTCGTGAATTGATTCCCTCGGCGGTCACACTGCTAATTAATTAAACCATGAGATAGATGTCCATAGCCATCATGGAATTGTCTCAGTATTAATCTTCAATACTTAATGATTTTTTTATTCATGTATCCGAGCCCTTCGATTGCAGGCAGGTCTCAGTTTCCTGCGCAAGAGCTCTATTTTTCAGGTGCGGCTATAATTACGACGCGCACTGTAGATACCCCATTAAAATTTTACAAACACCATGAAATAAATTACAGAATTTTTTTTTGGATCACTTCAACTTGATGTGTGGTCCACGTCAGCCATACCTTTGACACGGCGGTCTCACGACGACACTTCAGGAAAAAGCAAGAGATGCTGGCGACGATGCTTAAGCCGTGGACGTTATTACGCTTGGATTGGCTGCTGACGCCTGATGTTTTGCTGCAGGTGATGATACTGTGGCCACTGGAGCTATACGAGGCTGTTGCAATCCTTCCTGTAAGCTTCTTACGGCGCCACGTGCCCGTATTGGGCGGCGCATTAGTCGTGCTCATGACCCTGCACGGCATCCTGCTGCGATTGTTCTTGGAGCTTCTGCGAGCCATATTCGCGCGTGTAACCTACTCGCGCGATCCGGTGCTGACGTTCCGCAGCTTCTGGCGTGCCATGCAGGATCACTACGCCTTTTTGGAGCCCAGACGCGTGGACTGGCAGCTCGTGCGCCAGCTTTTCGGGGACGCCATCCAGCCAGCCACGAGCGACGATGACCTCTGGATAGCACTACAAGAGAGCGTGTCGCTATGTGACGATCCGTCGCTCGCTGTCTCGCGTGTGGCAGGATCCTCTGCAGGGTCTTTAGGACCCAGGATGCTGACAGTGCGCGGTCACAAGCTACCTACTGCCGCGGCGCTGAGGTTCCAGCAACTAGCGCTGGCTGCTATTGAGAGAGCTCATTTGACTCAGGGAGGCCGCAGGATCGCCAACAACCGCTTCGTCTGCGGTATCTTAAATGCCGAGACCTGTCCGGGATGGAGGATTGGCTACATTTGTCTTACGGCAATGCACGGATTTGTTGAGTTCCCGCTGCCCACAGTCGACGCCTTAATGCCTTCCTGGACAAGAGGATCACCCGCATCTAAAACGACAGGAGTAGGGGCAGGACAGACGCTGATAGAAATGGACGGCAGAGGGGAGGGATCATTGGCCGGTAGTTCCGTTACTGTGCCTGAGATCTACGACTTGGAGTCCATGCGCTGGTCATTGGAAGCGATCTTACTGGGATTAGGAGACGTGGACGGTCTCATTTTGGACTTGCGCTTCAACCAAGGTGGGGGCTCTCACGTCGCGGCATTGACAGTCGCTTCGTTCTTTGCCAGCGAGAACAAATCGGCGCTGGCTTTTTCGACGGAAGAAAAATTGCCTGGTGCGACGCCGAGATTCTCTAAGCGGAAAAAGTACTACATACCCTATACGTCGCGCTGCCCCCGCTACCGTGGCCCGCTGGCTATTCTCCAAAGTCAATACACTCGCGGGTAAGGGATGGATAGTTGATTAGAGGGAGGAACTGGTCTAATCCTTGCTGCTTAATGTCGCTATGATAACAGTACGGCAGAGCTACTGTGTTTGTCGTTGATGAAGCGTCCCCTTACGTCCAGAATTGGTGCTTCCACCGCCGGGAGTCTGTCCCCCACCCGACAGCTGCGATTACCAAACTATTGGACAGTTGACATCCCACACCAGAGGATCTTTAGTGCGGACAATGAACTCTTTGAAGGTCTGGGTATCCCACCTACTGAAGAGGTGGCGAAGTTCCCTGCTCAAATACTCAATGGCAATTCGCCAAAGAAAGAAAAAACGACTGCAGCTGCGGCCAGTGCCTCCTTTGATCCATGTGTGAGGAAGGCGATCGACCATATTATGGGCCTCGAGACAGCGCTTGACAAGTGAAGTGATGCCGTAGTCTACCATGGCTCCTGTTTTCCCAATATATGCGTCGAGATATTTAGCTCATACAACACGTATTTGCGCTTCTTTATCATCTGCTTGTCTTCCTTTTTTTTTTAAAGATCGCACAGTTTAAACGTTGAAGCTCTGTCGGCACAACCACACCGACGACGTCAGTATGACGAGTTCTGTTGCTGCGTTCCGTCGGTCGTGGCCGCGCCTGACTCAACCCCAGGAGAGTGCAGATAATGGTACATCTGGTCGTGCAGCCGAATATGGTTCCGTGACACAATTGACGTCCCGTCAAGACGAACTGCACACGCAAAAAAAAAACAATGTCAGCTAGAAGTTATGATGCACATTGTCGTCCAGTACAGCAAGAATCGCACCTTCGACGTCAATATCGTAGCTGAACTTTTTGTTTGCGACGAAGTGGAGATTGCCGCTAATACTTTGCGACGCGTTGACTGCTATCGGGGTGGCGAGTAGAAGTCGGCACTGATACCAATGCGTTCCTGGGTCGTGTGGTGCCGTACTGAGCACTACACGCGCATCTGATCCCAAGAAATCGACGGTGAACCAGCAGCCGAGGCCGTGCATGATTGCGGTACGTTCGACTTCAAAGTGGAAGGGAAAGTCAAACGTGTTCAGTTGGTCCTTGGTGATATCGGCGAAGTCCAAAACATGCTCAGCGAATCGAGAGCTCAGTAAAATGTCCGGAGGGAAATATCCAACGACGGGCTGTGAGAAGTGGTTGTCCATGGCTTGCGCCCGAAGACTCGACAGATTGACGCCGTAGAAGTTTTGCTGCTGCCAGAACGCCACCTTGGCCATCTGCTCTCGGTATATACTATCATCCGAGAATGGCGACACGAACATGGTGCCTGTGGACGGAAACATCTTGAAGCTGGGCGCCGGTTGCCGCCACTGCTTACCAGCAGTTACAAAAGTCTCAAGCATGCGCTCGTGTACGAGAAAAAAGCCCATGGGCTCCGACACCACGACGTCCACCAGCTCAGGAAGCTCCACCTCCTCCATCTTACCCTTGATGACTGTGATACGATCGCTTAGACCGTTGGCGGCTACCAGCTCCCGAGCACATTCAGCCATGTTGCTCAGCTCGACGGCGTACACTTTACGAGCACCCGCCTTGATAGCGAAGAAGGCTAAAATACCCGAGCCGGTGCCTACGTCTAGCACCACCTTGTCCCGAAAATCCGTCGGGTTGGAGAGCATTGCGCGCTCGTAGGTTCCCGTGCGTACGTGATCTTGTAGCATGTTCTGTTGATGTAGCAGCATCCCATAGTACTGCGAGAACGGGTTGGTCTCATCTGCATCGTCGTTAGTCTTGTGCTTCCCGGACATGGATCTCTGGGAATAATGAGTTTTTATTCTGCTGGACAGTTTAAACGGCAGCCTAACTCCGATTACAATGATGCTCTATCATCTAATATGGCGTGATAGATGATTAAAAATCGCGATTTCTCAATCTCCTATGGACCTTAATATGAGACCCCGTAAAACAAACTGATGCTAACGGATGCGCCCGAATAAAAGCCCCCTTCCGAGTAGTGTCCTGTGGGGTGCTATTGTGGGTTCTACTCAAAATTTTCCAGACCGACTGGATTAATCGATCGATCTCAATCGAGCGTCAGTCGCTCGACCACTAAAGAGCATATGATTTCGATGCAAAATGGGAGGGACTTCTTTTGACGCTGCCAGTCTCGAAGATGTCGACGACATCACCAGCACCAGCATCGCAAGAGCACGTCCGAGTCTCTCCATATCCAGAACGGCGCCGCAGCCCGGTCTCAAGTGAAGTCTACCAGCTCGTGGCCTCCCACGTCTACCGGCTGGTCGTCCAGCCGATCGTGAAGGCAACAGTTGGCGAGCGCGACTCCCCCGGCAACAATCTGGATCCTTTTGTTGCTGGCGGAACTTCGTTCCAAGAGATATTGCAGAAACTTTGGGAACAGTTCAGCCCTCAAGTTAAAGGCAGGGCAGTGAAAACCGACGGGACTTGGACCATTGAGCCTGCTACACGCACCAAGCTCATGATATATAAGGTGAAAAAACGCATTGTCGAAAGCTCAAAATCCGAGGGAGACTGGAACATTTGGCTTCAATCTATGAACGACAAACCTGTCACTCTGCTTATCTACGATTATGGAGTTGGAATCGGAAGGAAGCAAGATCGTCAGACCTTCATGAAAGACTGCATCCGGCCTGCAGAAACTGACAGAGCTGGTGCATCAGCTGAGGTCTCGCTTCGTGGGATTGTGAGTCGTCTACAGGACACATGGGGGCTACTTACGTTGGTGAAGCTATAGTTTGGCGAATGTGGGCAAATGAAGTGACTCGGACGCTCGATCGCTCCACATGGGATGATGCAGTACGAGCTCCACCGCCTTCACGCATTTTGAAGCTCCTCCGAGCAAGTGATTCTCGGATTCAGGAGCATCTCAATAGTATCAACCAATCAACACACATGGCGCTCGACTGTGTGAATGCATCCATTGCCGAGGCTGTTCGCCTTCGCAATGACTGGGATGCATATGGGCGACGTTTGGAATGCTTCGAAATAAGCCTTCCGACACGCAAGGCTCAGATCGAGTCGTTCCTTCACCACATCGACCTTCCCAATCAAGACGAACTGGCCGATCCGTTGGAGAACATGGAAAATGTTGAAGACATCGAGCACCAATAGCTACCGGGTTGTTCCAGTACTAGCATATATTTCTGAGTTTTTTTATTTTACTCATCAGAAGCATTCAAACTAAGCGTACGAAATCCTAAAACATCTTCATCTAAATTTTCCTCAATCTCGATTAAATCTTGATGCATTTCTGGAGCTGCTCGCGTCTCGGATGACAATGGTCCGATAGAATTGAATGTACCGTCAACCATCCAGCCGCAGTGTTCAAATACTCGGGCCATACTGACCCTTTCAAAGCGCCGGAACGTCTCCACGATGAAAGGAATCAAATCACGATCATTGGACTCCACGTAGAAGCGCTGGAACGCATTCTTCACGTAGCCAAACAGAAATTCAACAGGATTGAAAAACGGGCAATAACCAGGAAGAAAAATCGGTACAATTTCAATGCTTCTAAGATAGTGCACGATTTCAGGATGTCGGTGGATGGACGCCCCATCAAGTATCCACACCAAATTTAACCTTGGGTAAGGTTGAACCCCCGCCCTCTTGAAGTACGCAAAATCTTGGCAGCATCGCACGAATTGTACACGATCAAAGGTCCCCACAGTGGCGTAGTAATCAATGACACTTTTAATTTTAATGAAAGCAAGCAACGAGACCCTTGGCTTCCGTTGAAACTCACCGCGAATTGCCACCTTATGCCCTCGAAGAGCGTAGCCACGCTTCCGCAGCATTCCCCTGTTGTCAAACGATACTTCGTCCAGAAAGACAATATTCTGGTGTGTCCAGTTAATGTGGCTAAGCTCTTCAGCGAAACGAAAGATGTCACGCTCTTACATATGAATCGCGCGGCGCTCCAATACTTTTCAAGTGAGACCAAAATCGTGTATTATTCTCTATACATATGTCTTTGATATGCTAAGCTGAAACTGCTTGCGAAATGAATCTTGAGCCTCGTCAAGATATGACAGTGGTCTTTCCTAAAAAAATCCACGAAGCCTAAGGTGTTGCTCGTCTGAATTTTTCCTGTCAGACTTTGTTGTGATACGCTGGTAGGTTCCCGTCTCTTCGTACACACGAACCCAGTTACCAATAGTTTGTGGAGTTTTGTTGTAAATGCATGCCAGCTCTTTCCTCGAGTATACGAGGTAGTAGTAGCCGTACAGACAGTGGAAGACCGTGTTCTGATGGGCGTGCTGCTTAGTAGCTGCATCTTCCATCTTATTGAGTGACGCGAGGTATACAGCGACAAGCGATCCCACGGCGACTCAGGGCCGCACGGCACGATGTCCACAGCGACTCAGTGCTACAGCAACACAAGCCCACGGCGGCAAGAGATCCACGGTGACACAGGGCCACGACGACACAGGGCCACAGCAAAACGAGGCCACGTTGAGAATAAAATACACGGATACACGACACGAGACCACGGCGACGAGAGATCACGGCGACACAGAAGACCACGGCGACGAGAGATCACGGCGACACAGAGCCACAGCACCAAGGCGACGCAGGGCCACACGACACTAGATCCACGGCAGCGAGAGATCCACCTTGGTACGAGGCCACAGCGACTAGAGATCAACGGCGGCACGATACCAGGCTACACGAGACGACAGCGACGAAATGAGAACCGGCTTAATTTTTTACCAATGACCGATCTCCGCCGATTGAACTGGCGACTCGTCGAACCAGTCCGGCTCGCAAAATATAACAGGAATTTGCAATACATGCCTGCACTATTAACCCCTCCGTCACTAAGGCTTGAAAAGGAAGCATGTGACATTTTCCACATGCTTGATAATCAAGCATGTGGGGATCGTCATAGAATGGGCGTTTAGTCCGTTTAGTCCCCAATGCACAGGGCTTGGGGTCCTAACTGTAAAGAGAAAGTTCCTTGGAGATACGCTGTCGTAAAGACGGTGCTTCAAACGAGAAGCCTCTGAGCCATCCATTCATTCTCCAAAACGAAACGCGGAACCAAAATGCCTCCCCGCCGCGTCACGCGCGCTGAAGCGGAGGCGTTCCTGCGTCGTCTCGACGGGAAGGAAGGCGCAAAACGCGCCCGGCTGCTTGAAGAGCACCGCGCGTATGTCGACGGTACGCGTGACCGCGATGCTGACTTTGGTGACGACGTTGCGGGTGAGCCGCTTGTTTCAGCTCCCACGTCAGCAACGACAGGAAGGCGGCCTAGGATGACAGTGGCCTCACGCAAGCCTCCTGCTCCAGCTAAGTACCAGAAGAAGGGCACACTAGTAGGGTACTACAATTTGCTGGCAAGAGCGCTGCGATTGAAAGGGAAGGCGCCAGTCGCAGCATTGCATACAGAAGAGCTTGCTACCGATGCTGCTTCTGCTGATGAGGATGGGAGTGACAGCGGAGACGAAGATTACGTGGAAACAGGAGAAGACCAAGGAAATGACGACGTCGAGTTTGACATGGCGACAGCGCCAGAGATCACAACACCGAAGAAGGCGGCGAAGAAGAAAAGACCGGCAAAGGCGCCTGGCAAGGCCAAAGCAAAAGGTAAGCGTAAGCGCGCACCATCGAAGAGATCAAGAGCTGACAAATCTGCGCGTACAACGAGCCCACATATTGCTGCTGGTGACGAAGCCGTCAGGTGAGGAGATTATGCGTTTTGCGTACGATGTGTATCTCACACTTCATGATTGTAATTGTTTGTAGCGATGCGTCTGTTGGTGGGGATTTGGACTATAGCGAAACGTCGCCATCTCCGCCATGTGCAACAGACACAACGCAGGTATCCAGCTGAGGGCCCCACCAAAAAAGCGGGCGGAAGGACAAGAGGGTCGTGAAAAGGAGGGGGGCGGTGGGGACGAGGAGGAGGCCGCAGGCCTCGGCAATGAGGGAAGTGATGGTGGTGAACATTCTGATTGTGATCAGAACGAGACAACGGAAACTGGTGGTGACGACAGACAGCAGCAAGAGTAGGAAACAGTGAAACTGCGTAGGTAATAGCCCAAATGACTTGCTTTTAGCAAACAGATGCAATACACAAATTTGTTTTGGTAGCCGTTCTGCACGTGACTCCGTCAAAAACGATTCATTCACAATAAAAGAGCCATTTGCACATGCATGATGTCGCGTATGGGCTTTACGGATTTTACTCACCCTGCTCGATATAAAGCATGTGGGTTCATAATACGTACGATTGCAGGATCTTGTACAAATATACAGACACCGATCTTTTTTTTCCTATACAAATTTTACGTTAAGACTTTTTTTAACATGCTTGATATCAAGCATGTGAAAAATAGTCTGTGCATTCAAGATTTGCTCTCGTAACGGAGGGGTAGCGAAGAAGGCTAAAATACCCGAGCCGGTGCCTACGTCTAGCACCACCTTGTCCCGAAAATCCGTCGGGTTGGAGAGCATTGCGCGCTCGTAGGTTCCCGTGCGTACGTGATCTTGTAGCATGTTCTGTTGATGTAGCAGCATCCCATAGTACTGCGAGAACGGGTTGGTCTCATCTGCATCGTCGTTAGTCTTGTGCTTCCCGGACATGGATCTCTGGGAATAATGAGTTTTTATTCTTCTGGACAGTTTAAACGGCAGCCTAACTCCAATTAAAATGATGCTCTATCATCTAATATGGCGTGATAGATGATTAAAAACCGCGATTTCTCAATCTCCTATGGACCTTAATATGAGACCCCGTAAAACAAACTGATGCTAAGTTAGTTAACCATTTGTTAAAGTGCGATTTTCGTACGCCATTAAATAGCGGGGCGTCTGGTCTTATATAAATTTTTCATTAAGCCGTTTTCGAGAAAAGCGACATTTGAAACAGTTGCCCAGAAGAGGCTGAAGAATTTTCAAATATTTTTATTGGTCAGCTTAATGCAAAATTTCAAGTGGAACCTCAATTTGCTGTCCTTCGGTGGTACTGAAGATTTGAATTTTTAAAAATCTTTCGGCAGCTATAATCATTTTGAACTACGCTGAAAAATCGTACTCGTGCTCTCCCTGAAGTAGGCAAAGATTATCCAGTTTCTTTGAGACGGCGTTTCTTGGTGTGCGACACAGGCTTCCCGTCTGCAACCTTACTACTAGCCGGGACAGTTACCTGGTCATCTCGACGATCCGTTTATATAGCCTCTCCGGCGGTCTCCTTTGCACGCTTTGCTGCTGCAGCGGTAGCTTCGCGCTCTCTTCTTCTTTTTGAGCGCAGCCTGACGATCTTTCTGACTCTGATTTGTTCTGCGCGTGTCCTCATCGTTCGGCAGATCGTACAAATTGTACTACAATGGCCCCTTTCAGCAAAACGTTGGAACCTCTAACCTGGAAGTTTTTTTCTAGGTTCGAGGGAAAACACTTTCAGCATACCACTTTTTTCTCCTCCAACCGCAAAAGTAAACCTCGGTTCAGTGCCAAAGTTTAGGGAGCGGAAGAGGTCCCTGAAACGTGGAACTTGTGAGACTGGATAGATTCTCCGTGGCACTCATTTTCACCCCCCCCCTTCAGCCTGCGCATGGAAAGCGGAGAGCCCGAGGCAGAGCCCCTGGGCTCTGCGGAACCTGCGTCTGTGCGAGCTCTAGAGCCTGCGATCTCTGACTTCAAGCGCAACTGGACCGACATCACGATCCTTGCTCTGGTGCGCGCGTGGCGCGCTGTGTACAGAAGTGGTCGAGCCAAGGACGAGAAGACGACGATGTTTAACGAGCGCATTTTCGTTGCTTACCAAGCTGCCGTCCCGTCGACTCAGCGTTCAAAGAAGGCAATAGAAGATAAACTCCAAGGACTGCGTGAGATGTATCGTTTCATCAGTGATGTAAACGCAAACAGAGTGCAAGGCAGCACTGGGAAGGCTGAGTGGTTTGATCTCTCCAAGCAAGATAAGAAAGAGCTAAGGTATGGTGGTTCTATGGAATGCAGACCGTGCTTGAGCTTACAGAATACTATTCTTCACAAACAGGGAATTTCACTGCTTTAGTTTTTCTCGTAGGTTGTTAGTCATAGCTGGCTCGAGCTCCGTTTGAGGCTGTGGGAATTTTCTTTCGTACTCCTGCAATACACTCTTGTGGTGT